ATGAGAGAGAAAAATAAAAGCCTAGATTGGCAAAACCACAAGAACAGTTCCTTTAGTGGTTTGACTGATTTCAGAAGGAAGAGAGCAAAGCTTCCTCCTGCTCCGATCTTACTCTGCTCCTTGTTTTCATCTCAGCCATCAAAGAGTTGGTTATTTATTTCGGCAACAGAGTGAAGAATGCCAAAAAAACACCTCTTTCACCGCCTCCTCTCTGACAGTGCTGCTTTGTTTGGAGCCATAATGGTTAACCCCAGTTCTAAAGATTTACTATTGCATTCGCTGTGCTTTATTTTTCTCTTCTGGTCATAATTTTTCTGCCAGTTCATAGAACATAAACATCTCTAAAGCCAAAATTTATGCTGTCAAGCATTTGTGTTTCCTGCCAACCATGTGCTGCACAGACCTTTGCAACTGTGCAGACTGTTTGCCAACCAACAGTCAGAAGGAGAGATACTGTTAGCCTCTTAGGCTAAACAGCTAGTTCAATGTAATTATACCAAGGGTGGCCAAGTTTCAGCCATTTGCAGAGGCTTTACTCCTCTTGTATTTCAAAGGCTAACCTCCCCTCCTGTATAAGTAGTGTCAGGGTCATGCCTGTTCATGTTGACCCATACAGACATGAATGAAGGTTGTTTTGAGGTGATAAAGGCTTTTTGTGGAGCTTCTCATCCTACTACAAAGGTTAGCTCAGATTTGTACCATGTTGTGAAAAAGTATTCAAACCTTTTAACTTTTTCTTATTGTGTCAGATTTAAATGTATTTTTATTGAATTTTATGCAAAAGTCCTACAAAAGCACATTTAATAATTGTTGAAATTATAAAATGGAACATAATATCACATTTACATTACAGCCAGACATTGCAGGTGTAGTTTGCCATAAATTATATCAAAATAAGCATTTTGTCCAATCCAATTTTATTTGTTAAGCACTTAAAAACAACTGCAGCTGAACAAAGTGCTGTACAGAAAGAACAATATAATAATGAATAAATAAAACACAAAACAGTACAGATAAAAAAAAACAAACCAGCTAAAAAATGGGTATAAATAAGATTCACACAATCAAATTGGGTTTGTATGACGTCTTTTCCTGTCAGTCATGTTTGGCGAGAGCTCCGATGCTGAGCGTCATTTCTGTCTACATTTTCCACTTTTCAGCTTTATCAACTCGCTTCAGAACGTATCATGTCCATGACAAAGTGGTTTATAATCTTCCCTACATCATGATGGATTATTTTACCCTTCACTGAAAAAGATCTGCTTTGGTGGACATCAAGCAAAACAATACTTGTCATACTTTTTAAGTTTCTGTTTTTGTTCTGTTATATTTATAGCTTGTTTTTGGCACCTTTAGAATAAATACTTTCATTTTCAATAAACAGTCAGTTTCTGTATCATATTTTAAAAGATAAATCAAGAAGACAAATTCAGTCTGACTTAAAGAAAGAGGTTCCTTACAAGGATCACCAAGTTTATAAGGTGCCTGCATGAGTTCTTTTCAGAGGCAACACCTGTCCCAACTGTGGGGTCGCCATTTCCAATCTTAGGACTAGCTCCTTAAATTAGCAAGGGCTGTTCAACTGAATGAAAAGGGAGCATTTGCACACTGCAGGGGCATTTAACACCTCGTGCAAGTCACGATTTTAGACATCTATTTGTGTTCACGTTTTGGTAAACTGAGTTTTTGCCAAACATTTTATGTTCTTAATGACCCTGTCCTTTTTTACCCATACTTTACAGCAGCCTGCAGAGAGCTAGAAATCTACAGGTGATGGTGATAAGACATAAAACAGTCATTTTACAGGATTAGTTTGGGAAAAAAAAATAAACCGTCCAAAAGGTTCATTCTTATTCATAAGGTTCTAATAAGTCTTGAGCGTGAGAAACAAACTGTGCTTCAAGTTCTTTGGTATAATTAAAATTCCTAAGTAGACAGGTACACTATATGTCCTGAAGGTTCCCTTGTCCTTCTGGTTAAACATCTCCATAAATCTGGGAGCATATAGACCCAGTTAAAATAAAGTTTTGGGGTGGAGGTAAACGGAGTTACTGAAAGTAGAAAGATTACATGCTTTATCAGTTAATTGAAATTACCTTCTGACCTTTGCTTTCTTTGGAAGAGGCTACAATCTCTAGGATCTAATATGAGCAGGGAGAGTGAACGCGTAGGACCATTAAACACCTCATGCACTGGGCCTTCACTTTGGGCAATGTGCCAGCTTTGAGCCATCCGTTGGAGCCACCATCAGGTGGTGGTGACACGTCTATTTTGGGATTTGGGGAGGTCTGAAAGAGCAGAGAAAGATTCCTAACTTGGAAGTTGCTCAGAAAAAGCTTTGTCCTTTAATCTATTTCTGTCAGTCACATCTTCCTTTACTCAACTTTAGTTTTTTTTTTTACTGCGATACTTGCTTAGAGTGCATAGAAGAAGTGCTAGACAAATCTCATATAGAAAAAAGTTTGGAAATAATCCTGCACAGAATATAGAAATATATTTAAATATAGACAACAGGTGGACTATTCATCAAATGTTAAACTTGTCTTGAACCTAGATGAGACAACCTAAAATGAACCTAGACTACATTTCTAAAATTGTTAAATCATTTTACACTTGCTCAGAACTATCACAGCTATGGAGTATCAATAAAACAATTAACAGGACTCATTTCTTCCAAGTTTGCATGCATACTTTGCTAAAAGTTCTGTTTGAGCCTGCAGCTGTTGTTAGTGTTCTAAGATCCAGACATTGATAAGCCTCTGTCAAACAAACACCTCTGTCATAAACCTGGAGAGACGAGATAATAACCATTCATAGGTAGTTCATAAATCATCACAGGTAAGCAGGTAATATCCCACAACATGCAGGTTTGCAAAAATCCACCCAGGAAGTAAAATGATTGCTGGATGTTCTGCAATGGTGACATTGTGGAATATATTTGAATTTAACTACTACACAACTAATGAAATTGCAACAGGCCAAATTTTAGTCAAGTTCAATGACAAAAAATAATGCAGGTCTCTCTTTTTTTTTTTTGCCTTGTAATCCCAGCACGTCGCACAAAGCTCTTTCAGTGCTCCATTAAACCCTTTCATGAAGCAGGTTGACATTTCAATTACTCCAAAACATAGAGTAAAAGCAAAAAAGAGTCATTATTCAACCAGTCTTGTTATTTCAAAAAATTTATTTTAATGCAGGCCATGGGGACCGTATAATTTACCAATATTCATAACTTTTTTCTCTTTTTTATTTAAATGTTAAACGTTGTACAGTAGTCCGTATTAGTTGAAGTCTTGCATTAACAGTTACATCGTTAATTAGAAGTTGGATACAGCCTGCAAAAAGAAAAAGTGAAGAATTTACAATAAATACGTGACTTTGCTATCCACAAATGCACCAGGAAACAAAAAATCTAATAAAGCTGCCTGTAGCTTTACTATATCTCTTAACCTGTCACCGGTTCAACCTTCTCTTTATTGTCAGGCCGTTCCCAGCAAGTTAGTGAGCAATAGATTGTTTCGCAATGCTGAATGCCTTTCTGTCAGAATAAATAAACCTTCGAATTCCTGTCTTCTTCAACCTCCTCCCATTCTTTTGAAATTCTGCATAATGAATAGACTAATCTTGTCTGCTCTGGGGTGGATTGTTTTAGGATGTGTCCTAAGGCATCATCTCTGAGTCTGAATGAAAGCATGTCAAGGCATCCTAAGCGGATTAGTTGGTCTATTTTTTGGACTGGCTCAAAAATCATATTGGTAGACATAGACTCTTGTCAGTAAAAGTTTTTTAAGGAATTAAACAAACTTATTATTAGTCTGTTCAGGTATCTTTTGGTTTTCTGCTGTGGACTGGAGAGAGAATAAGTGTCTTTCTAGAACTTGGCTCTCTTCATTTTACTGTTGCCATGGCAAATAAAGCAAAACATTGTTTGGATGTGTAATGGTGTGGTTTCAAGCAGCGGGGGAACTGCATTATTTCTTCGCCTCTCATTCACCACCACTATAATTTTACAACTAGATCACCGTGTTGCTCTCCAGCCCTGTCTGTCTGCAGTGTTCCATAGAGAATCCCTTCCTTTTCTGTAGTATAAACTGAACATGAGCTACTCTTCTCCAAGCAGTTGTCAGCTTCCCTTCCAGTTTTTTTCTGACTGGGACAAGACGCTTTCTCTGTCAGGGAAAGATGAACAGGAGACAGATGTATAGATGAGAAATGGGATCTTGGGACAGAAATCTGATATCTGGTTCCAGGCAGAACAGAAAAGGCAATGCTATAATGCACAGTTCTTTATTTAGTTTTGCTGGTTTACAAATAGTAGTTCTAAAGTTAGGAGTTTGGGGCAGCAAATCAACTTTAGCTTGCTTTACTGGCTGTTGCATCAGTTTAATATTCTGCATTAGGAGATAGTATGTGCTTCTACTTATGGGGGCCTGGAGTCTCTCAGTACATATATGTATAAATAACATTAAACTTCTTTCATCCCTCTCAAAATAAATAGGCATAGAACATATTAAACTGCCTCTGTATTAAATCCCTTACCTCTTTCTTATAAAGAAGTATCAGTCTTTCCAATTTTTAGCCAAATAACATGTTAAGATATACATTAGCGTCATCATCCATCTTATTAACAAAGCCACACCTAGTTTTCAAAACCTTTTAGTGACACCTGATGCGGAAATGTGTAAAACTGGACACCTTGAACTAGTGTATGAATGTGCAGCCAGTTGCCCCGGGACGGGACAACTCCTCATCTCACTTTCTCATTTCTACTATATCTGTAACACATTCACTGGACTGTCGTATGACACAGCAGAGGGTGTGCTTTAGCCAACAGGAGTGGGCATGTACTGTAGAGGTGTGCATGTGTGTGTTGAATTGGGGGGCGTGTTTTCCTCTGTGGGTGGGTGTCTCTGTGAGAGTCAGAGCAGCAGAACATGTGCTAGAACACACTTTTTAGATGTGTTGCTGCACACGTTTTACTTTGTCTAAATTGTAATAGGTATATTTGAGACCATTTTTTTTTCCCGGCTTCCTCGTTTTTTTTTGTTTGGTGAGAACTTTTTTCCAGGCCCATTTTTTTCTAAGATTAAGAAGGTAGGTGGAGTCAGACTGTGAAGTTTGCCTCACTCCCTCCCTCGCTCACACACACGCTGCCTTTCTTCCATTCTGTCATTGCCATCTCGGCAGTACAGAGACTGTCCATGTCCGGCTATTCTAAGAGTGGAGGGGACAGCACACTTTGACTTTTCAAAGGAGGGATTTTTTATTTCTTCACAAGAACTAAAGGATCTGCAAGACCCTAAAGAAGAGACAGTAAGATAAAATTTGCTTTGATTTTTCCAACTATTTTGAATAGACTTGTGAGGCAGGTGACAACCAGTTTTACCTCTGGATTCTTTTCCAAAACAAGACCTGAAATAGCAATACGAGAGTTCAAGTTTTTTTTCTCTTTTTTTTTTTTTTCATTAGATTTTACTATAAAGCCAGTAACTGACTTAAAGCACAATGGTTGCTGGAATGCTGATGCCAATTCATGAACTAAGAGCCATCTATGAAGTCCTATTTCGAGATGGTGTTATGGTGGCTAAGAAGGACAAAAGACCTCAGATCAAGCACCCTGAAGTACAAGATGTGACCAATCTCCAAGTAATCCGGGCGATGGGCTCTCTTAAATCTAGAGGTTATGTAAGGGAAACATTTGCTTGGAGACATTTCTACTGGTACCTGACCAATGATGGCATTGTTTACCTGCGTGACTACCTCCACTTGCCTGCTGAGATTGTTCCAGCCTCTCTTCAGAGGGTTAGAAAACCAGCTGCTACTCTGGCCATTGCCCACCGTGCTGACCGTGTCCAGTCTGTTCAAGGCCCTACATCTTACGTTCCCAAGCCAGGTCGAAGGGATGAAGCAGAGAGCCAAGAAGCATTAACTGAACGCCAAGGCTACCGCCGTAAAATGATGGATCCAGGAGAACGAAGGAATTACGAAGATAGGACCCCTAGGTTTAGGGGTCGTCCACTGACTGAAGAGCCAGTGCGTTCGAAGGTATCACAGGAGGTTAGGGACCAGCATCAACCTCTCTACAAGAGAGGACCAAGCTTCTACCGTGAATCAGAGAAAGAGGTGGAAAACACAAAAAGATCAACTCATCAGGGGTCTAATGTAAGACATGAAAAGCAGGTAGTTTCACAGGAGAGTCAGATGTTGGATGTTCAGATGAGGAACTACAGGTCTGTTCCTCTTCAAAGTGCAGCTTTGAAGCAGGATGTGTCCCAGGCCACTGTGATCTCCTCCTCAGTGGCCCTGCCATTATCATTGGCTGCTGCTGGTGTGGCTGCAGGTGCAATGACATCAAAGATGGCAGTTAGCTCCTCTTCTGCTGAAACACATGTCAACATTACAAATACTGAGAAACGTGAGATTACTAAAAGAAAATCTTTGAATTTCATCGAAGACACCAATCCATCTACAACAAAGCTTGAGAGTTTGGAAGTCAAAGAAGACAAGACAAAACTAGTTAAAGCCACTGTCACAGCTACAGTCAATGAAATGCCAAAGCCCAAACCAGTTGATACAATGGAATGCGCTCAGAAAACATCCAAAGTTTATTCTGGCTCTGCAACCTCTAAAGAGACTAAACTGGTTGATGCTGATCCACGAAAGCACAACGAAGAAGTGATTGATGAATCAGTTAAAGCACCTGAACAAAGGACTCTAGTGAAAGCTAAAGAAGATGGTAACAAAGAGAAAAATGCCAAAGTAAACCAGAGGAGCATCAAATCCAATAATGATGACCAGACCAGCAGCCCACCGGGGACCAATAATGAAGCAGTTGATGTCTCCAAAGTCACAATGACCCAAAATCCTGTGGAAGTAACCTTAACAGGTCTGAGGGCAAAACCTGAGACTGATGGCACTCCTCCTAAAATTGAACAAGTAAAAGAATCCTCATCAAATGTAGTTAACACTACTCATGATGCAGCACGTGCTTCAGTATCTCAAACAAAACAGGAAGATCCACAATTGAGCAAAAAGAATGTAGATGTTACGGAGACAAACATTAAGCAGGATGTCAATAGTCCTACAGGGATTTCACCTGTCAAGAAGGATGAAATGCTGCAGCCAGAGGAGGTCTCTAAAGGTTTTGGTCAGGGGCTAGTGCAGAATATGACCCATGCATTTCTTTCCACTCAAGATGCTGTTAGAGTAGAGGAGGGTAAAGACTCCAAACAAGTAGGAGAAGCAACCCCCAAATCTAAGAAAAAGAAAAAGAAAGCATCATCTGAGATTCCTAAGAGCCCAGTTAAAGAGGATCTGCCTCCAATAAAGGCAGAGAAGAAAACATTTGAAAACAACACTGATGAAGCGATGCTAGACGATACCCAAAAAACAGTAATTACTAATGAGTCTTTAACAGTTTTAACCTCCACAAAGATGGAAGAGGAAATCGGGGCTGATGACAAAGCAGATGATGATCACAAAAAAATGGATGCTGAGCTAAAAAAGGGGGCCCCTGTTAAAACTGAGATTATATCAACAGAATCCTCTACAGCAGTCTCTGCAGATGTGCAAGTAAAAGAGACACCTGAGGAAATTATTGTCAGCACAGCAGGAGAAGGGACCCTTAAATCTAAGAAAAAGAAAAAGAAAGTATCACCTGAGATTTCTAAGAGCCCAATTAAAGAGGATCTGCCTCCAATAAAGGCAGAGAAGAAAACGTCTGAAAACAACACTGATGAAGCGATGCTAGAAGATACCCAAAAAACAGTAACTACCAATGAGTCTTTAACAGTTTTAACCTCCACAAAGATGGAAGGGGAAATCAGAGCTGACGACAAAGCAGATGATGATCACAAAAAAATGGATGCTAAGCCAAAGAATGCGGGCCCTGTTAAAATTGAGATTATATCAACAGAATCCTCTACAGCAGTCTCTAGAGATGTGCAAGTAAAAGAGACACCTGAGGAAATCATTGTCAGCACAGCAGAAGAAGAGACCCCAAAATTAAAGAAAAAGAAAAAGGTTTCATCTGAGATTTCTAAGAGCCCAATTACAGAGGATCCGCTTTCAATAAAGGCAGAGAAGAAAATGTCAGAAAAAAACCATGAAGCGATGCTAGAAGATACGCAAAAAACAATAAAGACAGAAGGTAAAATCAGGGCTGACGACAAAGCAGGTATTGACCACAAAAAAGTGGATGCTGAGCTAAAGAAAGGGGCCCCTGTAAAAACTGAGATTATATCAACAGAATCCTCTACAGCAGATGCGCAAGTAAAAGAGACACCTGAGGAAATCATTGTCAGCACCACTACTCCGGAACAGATGTGTCCGAAATTAAAGACCACACTCCCTGATATGGAACCCTCAAAATCCAAGGAAGCAACTGCTCCTAGTGTGGAAACAGTGACAGCGCAAAAAATGAGTCAAGTTGAGAACATGCAAGAAAATGGAAAACTTGAAGCAATACCAGCAAAGCAGTCAGACTCTCCAGAAATCACTGTTGAGGCTACATCTCTTCTGAGTGCAGAGAAAATTACAGACAAGGCGACAAAAGGGAAGAAAAAAGGAAAAGGGAAAAAAATAATTGTGTCACCAGAAGTAGAAACTAAAAATGCAAGGTCTGTCCCTATGACTGAAGGAGAAACATTGCATTCTACTGACATATCAACACTGTCCAAGGCTGCGGACAAGGATAGGCCTCTGGCCTCTGAAATGACAGAAACTAAAGTTCCTTTAAAGATGATTCCTGAAAGAATGTGCAGTGAGGAAGTCAGACAGGCAGCAGCTGTGCTCTCTGAGGCCCCTATACACAAAGGGGAGGTGGAGCTAACACAGCCCTCTGCAGAAAAAACCAAGCGGGAGGTTCCGAAAGCAAAAACATCTTCCAGTGTGAGGAAAGCACCCGCACCCGAAGATTTAGCGTCAGCTGAGGCACAGGCCAGCCCTCTCTCCAGGCAAGAAGAGCCTCCCAGAGTTGCACAACATTCAGCCAGGCAGGCAGCAGAGTGCAGCACACAGGAAAGGCTCTCTGTCTCTGAGACCTTAAAGCACGAAGAAGATAAGAAGAGGGACTTGCTGGAGGACACACCCTCTGCTACTGCCACACCCGCAGTCCAGCCTGACCAGCCTTACCTTGGGGATATCAGTGAGTCTGAAATAGTTGACACTGACGAGGCCACTATGAGGAAGAAAATAGTAGTAGTGGAGGAGATAGTTGAAGTGAAGCAGATCGTTAGCCCTCAGGCAACTGGGGAGCAGTCACCTCCCCCACCTGTGAAGACTGAGGTGGATGAAGAGGAGCTGGACTTGGATGTTCTGGAGGAAATCGCTATAGAGCGAGCTCTTTTGTCCGGGGCTGCAGGGGTCAAGGTGCAAGGAGCTTCACCTGAGTCTGACTGGGACCACTCACTGGGGGAGCCAGAGGAGAAGACATGGCCTAACTTCATTGAAGGTTTGTTTTTCATGCATGACAACTGACCTACTTCCTCCGCTGTCCTAATCTGTCTGAGCACATGGAGTGTTTTCTTGCAGTCAGGTTCCCACCTTTCTTTGAACTGTGGGAGGTCTTAGGCAAGGTGTTTAATGACAGCACTGAGGCTGCCCCTCCATTTCTTTCACTGCAGATTGTGAAAAATACTTTAGTCAGGAAGTTGTAGACTGTCTATTTCAAAGTGCTTTTTTGCATGATTTAAATACTGTTTATCTAAGAGTTTCACATTACAAAGATGAATGAAGATGTTTAGACTGTCCTTTTCAAAACTGTTTCAGTATATGAATCCCAATAGACTATTGACATGTAGCTTTGATTTAATCATGATTTCTGAAGTGGATGAGGAATAAGTTGCACTATGGGTATTTGCCATGCTGAAGCCTTCAGGTTTACATCTTTTAAAAGTTTATTGCACTGATATAAAAGTAACATTTATTCATTAACTAGACACTTATCCTGTAGTTAATAAGTTCCTGTGAAAAACTCAGTTTTTTATTGAAGATCAACACATTCCCAAAACGATTACATATTTTGGGTGGGGACTCCAACTCTGATGATTATTGTGTCAAGGCATGTTTACTCTTACGATGTGTTATCTTTTGGGACATCTCTGAGAATTTGCTAAAGGGATTATTTGGAAGTGTCGTCAGACCAATAAGGTGGGGTTGTTTGCTGAGATTCAATCTCACCAGTTTTCTGCAGACATTGCTGTGCATGAGATAAAGCCCAGCTGAACTGGGAGGAAGGTGTGGTGCTTGTGGGAGCTTTGCATCAGTAATACTGTGTTCTGGACTTGGGTTGACATCACATAGTTGTTTTTCTCTTTATCCTCTCTGTCATTTATTAGAGATAAATACACCACCTGCATACTTTTTGTAATGGCCAGGCAAAGGTAGTGGAGCTCTATAGGTAATGTGATAACACTGTTGTATGCCCTCTGCCTTTGGTGTGGAAATGAAAGTAAACAGAGTCCACAATCAAGAACCACAGAGTTCTGTCAATTGCTTTGCTGAACTGAAACTTGTATTGTCATGAAATATGATATGAGCAATATTTTATTTGATGTACAAGATTTTAAATAGCTGAATACTTTAGTTTAGAAGGTAAGGAAACTATTATTTTCTGTCAAATCAGTTTTACTTTTTAGCTTTAAGAATGTATAAAGGGAGAGGTTGCCCGGGGCGTTGTCTGTTATGGGTGTAAGCGGCAGTCAAATAGTAAGTTGGAAAAGGTTGTTCGTAGCTCTATGGGTGTGTTTGAAATCCCACGTGACAGTAGATCTGGTTTCAATTAGCTGTCTTGGCTCCTTGATTTGATCTGTTAATCATCAGGAAATAAAGTTGCTTTGCAGTTAGAGAAGAAAGAAAGTTCTATAACTTAAACACACCATCACAAAGCTCATCATAGACATGTTATGTATTATTTCATCTCAGCAGCTGACAATACATATGGTATGCACTTACAATCAATATACAACATTCGATTTTACCTTCTGACTTTGGAGCTTTGCCCTTGGTGTCTCTTTGATATGAACACAGCAGTGCACTGCTGACATCTGCTGTCCATGTACCAACTCCATGCATTAAACTGGCTGAATGTTGTTACTGTCAAAGAGGTTTTGAATGAAAATCTTAATGAACAAACCTTGATTTGTCTAACCAAAAAATGTATAGAGGATTTAGCAATTCCTTAACCTTTACTTTGATGTGCAGTGTTAAAAACAGTCATGATTTTCAAATATGTAGCATTTAGTACATTCTATCTTCATGCGGTAGTATTCTGGAAGGGTAAGATATTTCAATTGACAGTTCTTTTTGAGTTTGTCATTTTCACTTTTTCAATGTTATGCTCTCTGTTTCTGTTCTCTTGTTTCATTGCTAATACAAAAAAAAAAAAAAAAAACAGAGCTATGATTCATTTCCAGTGAAGCCTTTGATGTTGTTCTTTGCCATTTTGAATCTCTTCTATAATGCAAGCTGCAGTATTTAATCAGGAAACAGTTTAAAAGTATTGGACTGCTTTCTCATGCTTGAGGGGACAGTTTAAGCTTCACCCCTACATAGCAGCAGCGGCAATTAAACTAAATGACATCCCAGACATGCCGCTGAAGTCCTCCGTGTTTTTGTTACTGAAATTCTGCCCACAGTGTAGATTATGTGATTGAAATGAACAGCCACAGTGTGCTGCTGCTCTGTGCCTTTCATTACGGTGACATGCCATTTTTATGCAGTGACTCATACTGGCCAGTTTCAAACGCCAAAGCTGGGAGTCTGACCTTTTCCTGCAAAACAGTTAAAACTAAAGGGAAACAATGAAAGTTTTAACCCTTTTTTTTCCAACAGAAGACTTTGTTAGCATTTTGTGGCTTCAATTCTTATGTTGCTGCTTCTGTCGTCGGCCAACATTTATATTTTGCCAAAACAATCCAGGTGACCCTAAGTGACCTGCGATATCTTTTACTGCTGACTCTGATTGTGAAATCCCTCCTTGAATTTTATCAGGAGTGGGAGAACATTACGGTCCACATTTTATAAACTACTGACATGAGAACATCAACCAAGACACTTTAACAATGGAATAGCATAGTGCGTGCCAGGTCAAAAACACATTGTTAAACTAGGAGACCTAACTTTAGCCCGTTTAATTTTACTTTTTTTTTTTGACAAATCTGTTGTAGCAGTGTGATAGTTAACCTACTCTCAGCCAACCCCCAGAAACAGACTGATCAATAACATGTGGAATAAATTAAGGGTTTGGCCCAGATAGTTATGCTGTTAGTCATTTCCCAGGGTACATGCCGAGCCATATATAAGAGTGTGACTAACACCAGTTCAGATCTGTGGGAAAGCTAAAGGGTTGTTTTACAATATTGCAAAGGTATTCATCTTTGACACCTTGATGTTTTTCATATTTCTGGCTCACTGCAATCTCTGATGGTATATTTTTATGGGATTCTGTGTGACAGATGAAATTAATGTACTGCAGGAAAAATGATTCATAGCTTTTGAGCAGTTTAACAAATAAAACGATTAGAGACATTGGATATATATGGTTACATAATCCTTATCTGGTAGCAATGAGTAAAATCTAGTGAAGTGCTTTAAGTCGCCTGAATAAAATAACTAATGAAGTTTAGCCAAGAGTTATTTTATCTCTGCATAGCTCAAGGAAAGCCTCTGAACTTTGGAAAGGTTGCGTAACGGTTGAAACATGTCTAGGTTAGAAAACAATAATTCAAGTTTTGATTCTAAAGTGACTGGCAAAATGACAGAGCAAGGAAAGCATTTATTATAGAGCAACTGTCAAGTGTTCCACTGGAACTCTGGAGGAGTTGCAGAGGGATGCGTTGACAGGGAACTTTTTAGCTTTGCAAATCAGACCCTCTAGGTGTAACTGTCAACAACAAAACCTTTGTTGAACAAAAACCAATGAAGCTTTGATATCAGGATTGTGGAATAGTGTGAATAAATAATCCCCAGCATTAAAGATAGACATTCAGGATTCAGGATTTGGTGATTCTTTTTTTAGCGGGGAAACTTGACAGATTACATAATAAGATCAAGCTAAATCAAGCTAAAGATTCAACAAGCTTAGATTCCATTTGCATTAAAAGCCTATCACACAGAATTGATTGGATCAGAGCTTATCCTTGCATTAGAAAAGGCCAATCATAGTTTAAATCGATATAGATCTAAATGCAATTTAGAGTTGGGGACAAGACTTGGAAATCAGAGCTGATCTTCATTGAACCTGACTGACCTTGACTTTATTTTATTACAAGGAGGCTAAAATTAATAAAAGTAGGCCTTGGTTTAAAGGAATTAACCCTGGTTCTCTGAAACATGTGCGGTATCTCACTCTGAGGCAGTTCAGGGGGCGTGTCCCATAGTGAGATACCACAACAAATTATAAAAGAGAACCCCACTTTTCTACTACTTTTTTATTTGTCTAATACACCTAATTCAATTAAAATACACTGAAGGGTTTGACTGTAGCATCATGGCATGGAAAATAAAAGTCTGTTTCTTTGAGGAGGTGTTCTTATATGTTTGATACAAATTAGTTTGGTGGAAAATGTCTTAATATGTGTTAAGGTGTTTCCATTTTTACCCTATGCCTTAATTAATGCAATGTTTTAGCTTAAATGCTAATTCTAATTTAGTGTCTATATTTCTAGTGTGAAATAGAGAGAAAAGCATGCCACCTTGATGCCCATTAGAATCGTTCAAATCCACTTAGATGTTTGTGTCTGAAAAATCCGGTCATATTATATAGATGTTATGATCCCACTTTGAGGAATATGTTGTCATCCTATTTAAATAGCTTCCTGTGCAATACATGCTTTTCATTTCATCATAGGACGGATATCTGTGTAACTATGTTGTGGTTATAGAGGTTCAGTCCCCACACGGAAATGGAGCGAATTGTCAGCACTACAATTGATGGAGCATTATGTATATTAGAGTTCTCTATATTTAGAGAATTCTGAGCATTAGGGTAATCTCAATAGCAGCAGGTGATTTACTCTGAGTGCTCCAGCCATGATTTCACTAAGTAGGTCTCAGTAGGCTATCTGAGCCTGGTCTCAAATAGTTGAACCCCATCAAGGGTTGTGCTCACTTTTCGTTTTTATGTTGTATGTTTTGTGTTTCTTTTTCCACTTTATACCAGCCGATTTTACTGAATGCAACCAAACTTCATTCAATCAAGTGAAATAGTTTTCTCTAAAATTAGATAGCTAAACCAAACGCAGTCCCTCTATTTCTCAATCCCTCTCCATGACAAATATTATTATACAGTTAGTGGAGCTCTGTTAAGTGTGTGTTTCTCTAATCAAGCTGGTAATATCATCAGACGGCTCCTGTGTTTGATATATACATGAGTTAAGAGAGTTCTCATAAAGTCTCTGATTGCTGGCTGATATCTAACACTTGGTATCAGAGAACTGACCTCCGACCAAC